CCTCGGCCCCCAATCCTGAGAAACAGGTAATAGCAGACATGGCACCAATAGACATAAAGCGCTATCTCCAGAGCCTCGTAGATGAGTTCAGGAATGAAGTTATTAATGACCTGAAGCAAGACATAAGCAGAATAGTTAGAGAAATGCTAAGCACCACCCAAGAAAAAGAGATGGTGGAATGGAAGAACAGAAAAAGAGGGGAGAATTGTTTGATGGAGAAAATATAGAATACGTGAAGCAGGTTCAAAGAAATTACCAGGAAACTAAAAACTCTATCGAAAACTGGCATAACAGCTTGAAAGAAACTAAGGATAGATTATCTGAACTGGAGGGCAGATTTGTAATATGGGAGCATGAAATGAAAAACTTCTTAAAAATAACAAGAAAACAAATAGCAATAATACAAAGTGTAGAAGATGATAAGAGGATCTACAACCTAAGAATTGAGAACATAAAAGAAGAAGTAGGGACACAAACAAATGGACTACAAAAGCTATGCACAGAAATAATCCAAGAGAATTTCCCTAATTTAGCAAATGGTAAAGATACTCAGATGTATGAGGCATACAGGACACCAGCTACCTACAACCCAAACAGAGCTACACCCAGGCATATAATAATCAAAATTCCAGAAATCCAATATAAGAACAGAATATTAAAAGCTGTCAGAGACAAGAAACAGATCACTTACAAGGGAACACCCATCAGAATTACAGCAGACTTCTCGGCTCAAACCATCAAATCACGAAGAGCGTTGGGGGAAGTAATTCAGGCTTTGAAAGATAACAACCTCCAGCCAAGATTGATATATCCTGCACAACTGTCCCTAGAAATTGATGGAAAAACAAGGTTCTTCCAGGATAAAGAGGAACTAGGGAATTTGCAACCACCAATTCAACTCTACAGAGAATACTGCAGGATATCCTAAAAAAGGAAAATACCAAGACTTCAGAAACAGTGGCAGAGAGGCCACAATGAATGGAGCAGAAAGCAAAATGAAGAAGACAAACTGACAACAAACAACAGAAAAAAAGCTCAACAAAAATGAGGCAGAGAAGATCAGATGGTAGGAACAGCTATTTTGGAGAAAACAAGACATCATAATAGCTAGTGCTGATTTAGTATTATCTTGCTTTGAAGTCCCATCAACCTTTTATTCTTCTGTCCCCATTGGTCTTAACAGGTTGTATCTTATTGGATTTTATTATATGTGATATTATAAGCAAAAACTTTTATAGACAAGGAGATTATACAGAAAACATTGTTCATTTTCTGACAGTTGGTTCTAAATACGCTGTAATACTGTCATTCTCTTCAATGGTTTTACATTGTCTTGATATGTTTGGTGCTACAGTACACAAAGTTATACTCAAAGATTTCAAGGAAAGAGACATTATGGTAACTACTTTTATGTCGGGATGTCTTGTGCTGAAACACTATTTTGCTTAAATGGTTATGCTTTGACCTGTGCTGTTTTGTTGTTATGCCCTCTTTTATCTCAGTCTCCTTTTTTTAATTATTTACTTTTTAATTTTTTCTTTTTAATTAAAGGAAAAATTTAAAAAGCAGGATATATTATTACAGTAACCCACTTTGATTTCCTATTAACTTGATTTGAAACCCTGTGTAGCCCTCACCATCTTGCTTTGATTGATTTTCCTCTATTCTGCTTTGCTTGATAGTACCAAGTTTGAAAGTATAGGCAACAACTGTAAAGACAGTAAGATTCATTATGATGCCCATTCTGGTTGACTATTATCTTCTTTTAAAGTCCTGTCATGTCTCCAATGTTTTGGTTTTATTCTTTACTGTTTTGTTCAATTTTATTATAATTGATGATATAGGCAATTCTTTTTAAGATAGCAAGAAGCAGTATGGTAACCATTGTTGATCACTTTGTAGTATGTTTTTACATTATCTATTATGTCCACCCTTTTGATTTGACCGACTCTGTTCTGTTATGTCACATTTGGTTTTACTCTCTTCAAAAAAAAAAGTAATAAGAACTGTGGGAGTAATAAAACCCAAAATGTGTAATTGTTATTGTACAAAAGAAAGGAAAAGAAAGTGCTCTAAAGAATATAACTGCATATATATTTAAGTGTATAAGATAGATAACCATATTACTGAGTTTTGTTGGATCATTGAACAAAATTGTTTTGAGTCTCACTGTTTGAAAGTCCACTTTATATGCTTTAATTTTGTAACTTGAACAACTATTTCTAAGATAACAATATATAATCTATTAACTAGTGATTTCCTATTGTTTATTTTTTCTGAAATTCTGTATAACTTGTACCCTATTTGTTTTTTTCTTTTTCTCCTTAATAAAAGAAAAGAAAAGAAAAGAAAAAATGAAGAACAAATGAGTAAAAAATGTACAAAGGCCATTAATAATTGTCCTTCCCAGGTGAAAAATAATAATTTATCTGACTCCTCAACTCTAGGCATTTTATAAGTGTTCAACAATTCACATATCTGGACAATCTTACTGGAGACCATGAAGTTGGTCTTAATATGCAAAAATAGTAGAACAAGGAGAGGAAAAAAAGGGACACTCAGAAAGTAGGACTCACATACATAAAAAGTGGTCCATAAACTCTACTTCATAACTGTATCTGTTTCCCATGCTGCTGGAATACATTATTCTGTTACAGAAACTATTACAATACATTACCTTTTTATAGCACTTTTTCCCACTTGATACTATGTTAACATGTTCACTGTTAGCTCCATTTCACCTGTACAATTCTGTGTGTGTGTGTGTGTGTGTGTGTTTGTAGAAACTTATTTTGGCACAAAGGAATTATATGAATTTGTGCTGTATCATGCCTCAATCCTCTCCAGCCAGGAACCTACTGAGTTATGTACTGAGTGAGGAATCTTCATAGGATTTTGCAGCTCTTCTTGGCTAAGGAAGAACCAGAATTCTAGTCCTTTGTGCCATTCTCTATAAAGTTCATGCAGGCCATTGTTAACTCCAAGACTGACCTTATAATGCTTCTTAAAAGCACAGACTCTATCCCAGAATTGACCTGAATTTCTTTCAATCCTTGTACTAACATAATTGTTTTCTTCAAATACGCTTCTGTATTTGTTTCCCATGGCTGCTGTAACACATTAGCAAACTTTGTAGTTTAAAACACATTTATTCTGGAAATCAGAAGTTAGAAATCAGTACGTTCACTGTGCTACGCTCCTGATAGAGGCTGTAGAGGTTCCTGTTTTCCAGGTTGACTTGTGGCTGAGCCACTCCAGCCTCTCACTCCACAGTTGTGCTGTCTTCTCTTTGGGGTGTGTAGCATCTTTTTGTCTCTTTCCTAAGGGCATTTATAATTGCCTTAAAACCCACTCTGAAAAAGCCAGATAATCTCCCTGTCTCAAGATGATTAACTTAGTTGTATCTAAAATGATCCTATTCTCACACAAACTAACATTTACAGGCTCTGGAGAGGAGCATCTGGTAGCTTTGGTGGCCAGTAACAGCCTACCACACCTTACATTTATGCTTACCCACCTTGTGTTCAGTGTATGACAACCTATTTATCGAAATTCATGAAAATTTGTATACACCACTGAAACTCCAAAGTGAGCTCAATTGGAGCAACTATTTGACTCAAAATTATTTTATAATGCAAACATGAAAATTGTTTCAATCCAGTGATAAATACAAAGTGCTATATATAGGTTCTAAAATGACCATGCTATTAAATTACCTGGGATCCATATCATTTGAACAGTAGTTGAAAGGATTGAAGAGAGAAGAGAAAGCCTAAAGGAATATCATACAGCTTTCTTCATATGTATGAAAATGTTTTACAGACAATGAGGAGTAGATGTGTGTTGTTTAAAGCAGGAAAAGTTAACTGCAGGGGCAAAGAGGGAAATTTCAATCCTTTTTAAGAAATACCCCAGAATGACACAGAAAACGTCTCCCCAGAATGAAGTCCCTTACTTCTTCTGGAAATAGAAACATGTGCAAAGCCCTAAGGGAAGAATGCAGAGGGGAAATGTAGAGAAAATGTCCTCAAATATAATGATGATGGTATTACATAAAAACAATCACTTTAATGATTCATTTTAGATAAATCTAATATTCTTCTATTTTTGTAATTATAGCCAGAGTGGTCTTTCAAAAGGTAAGCTTAATTAGGACAGGTTATTAATTAAAACCCTTATTTGATTAAAGCCCTTTGGGTAATGACCCCGGATTTTCTTGTCATCCTCATCTGTATTTTTCCTGTCTGCACTCTTATCACACTTTCAATTGTTCAACTGCAGACGTTGTTTTCTGTCTTGTCGCTCCCTTTTGCTTGGGATACTGCTACCCAAAGATAACTGTTTCCAGGAATGCTTTTGTAGAGTGCTACACCACTCTTCCCATGCATGCTTGTAAAATACCCTGAACTATTCAAGATAAGAAGCTTTCATTGTATAATTGACACCAGTCTTGCTAAAACAAGCGCTCTTAAAGACAGAGATGCTGTAACTTGTTCAGCATTGTGCTTGGCCTATGGTGGACATATTCAAATATTTGTTGAATGAGGGAACGCTCTGTTGTTGTTTTAGTGGGTTGAAGTGTAAAAGTCCGATGAGAGAGAATATTTGTGTAACTGACATCAGCTTTCTAGGTGCACATTTTCAGGAAAAATGAGCAGGTTTTCTTGTAAGACTATATTTCACGATCGATGCTCAAGGGCACCTTGGCCAGATTTGGCTTAAATGTCCATGGGAGAGGTACTTAGCCTTTTGAACATTCGCTGGGCAAAAAACGATAATGTCCTGCAGGTCTTTGCATCGGAGCTGGGCTTGCCACACGGTGCTGGCTACTCTTTTCTCCACGGCTCCCACCGAGCGCAGAGTGGAGAAGACGAGCAGACGCCCCAGCCGCGTCCCACGCCGCCGCCAGGCGCCCGGCCCCGTAGCACCGCCCCCGAGGGACCCGAGGCCCCGCCCCGCCCCGCCCCGCCCGCGGGGTCACGTGACCTCCGTGTGACGTCGGAGGAAGGAGACGCCATTAGAGGGAGGCGGAGAGGCCGCGCCGTTCGCCTGTCCACGGGTGCCTGACGTGGTTCTGGGCCCTTCATTCTCGGACTTTCTCTGGGCCCTTCCAGGCCGCGCCCGAGGAGGGCGTGCAGCGGGCGCCCCAGTCGGCGGGCCGCGGCGGAGCGGGTGCGCCGACCGCGGCTGGGAAGGCGCCGCGGCGGTTCCGGGGCTCGCACTGCCGGGGAGCGGCGGGATGGCTGCGGCCGGCGGCGGCGGCGGCGGGGGGGCAGCGGGGCGAGCCTACTCGTTCAAGGTGGTGCTGCTCGGGGAAGGCTGTGTGGGGAAGACGTCGCTGGTGCTGCGCTACTGCGAGAACAAGTTCAACGACAAGCACATCACCACTCTGCAGGTGCGATCGCCTTTCCGGACTCGCCCGGGTTGGGGCAGCCCGTGGACGGAGGGCAGCTGCCGGGAAGGGAGTGGAAGGGCCCAGAAAAGTCCCCAGTGTCCCCCGAGGTGGCTCCGCGCGTCCGGGAGTCCCCGTCCGTGGACTGGTTTTTTCCCCTTTGATGCGCTTCCGCCTGGGCCCAAGGTGTTTGCACCCCACAGTCTCCAAGGGGCAGCCTCTGTTGTTTCTTTTCTTCCGAATTAGGAACTTAGTTGCTGATTTGATTTTGTGAATGGAGTGATTTGTAACTTTAGCGCTTGCTGATGACACAGTGTTTATGCAAGTTACATTCTGTTCTGTCTCGAGTGACAGGAATAGAAAAACAGCCTCCTCTGGAGCGGTTTTGAAATGACCGGTTGGCCGTGCAGGTTGCGCAGTTTCTTTGCAGTCTGTGTGGTGGGTCCGACTTGGGGGTCACTGATTGTGCCAGATCGGCCAATCCACGTTGAAATCTCACGTGAATACTGGCTAGCAGCTGGTCCCCAAACTAAAATCTTTGGCCACTGGTGCTGTTCATTTTATCTACCTGTCATAAAATCCCGGCTTTCCTTTCAGTTACATAGAAGATGTGTTAAAAATTAATCATTGAGAGTGAAGCCAGCTTTGAGGGGGAGTTGTGGTCCTCCTTCTCTCCTAAAGAAACCAGTTTGCCAAAGGCAGTAAGGTCTGGTGAACTTTTTTGATTACCTAGATTCATATCCTATCTTGGTTAAATTGCTCAATCTGTTCCCGAGTTTAAAATATCTCCTGTTAAAATATGCACAGTAATAGTATCTAACTCTTAGGGTTGCCAAGATAAGTGTGTGTAAAACCACATAGGACAGGATCCAGTGTGAGCACTGTGCCTGTATTATTACTGCCCCAAATTGCACAATAGATCTTAATTAGTAATTGTGTAGTGTGCGAGAACATGGGTGCTGTTTAATGGCATGCATAATCTCTGAATTGTTTTGACATTTGATGATATTATTAAACTACTGGGTCTAGAATTTACAAAGATGCACTGGTTCTGATTCCATGTTCTATTTTTACTCCTCTGTTTTTAATCCTATGTAAAACATAGTGTCTCAAGAAGTGAGTGTCACTTCACCGCGCCACAGGTTAATGGTGTGGTGCTGCCTAAGCTCAACTTGGAGCTCAGATCAGACTTCACATTTCGTAGTTAGGTCACACTGCCTTGTATATTTTGACCAGGCCATTTAGCATTTTCCTTTGTGTTAGGATCTAAGATAAGAGAGAAAATCGTCATGATTGAGATCTTGATTTTTTTTTAATGTAGCCCTCCAACCTAAACAATTTAACGTGTATTGTACATTTCTAAAACATCCTCAAAACTAAAAGCAGATACAGATTTTTAAACTGATGAGAAAAACTATGATGAACCACACGGAAGAGGATGAAATTATTATGGTTGATATGCAGTATCAAAAATGTAGCAGTCTTGATTTTCATTTATATAACTCGTCATAAACAGTATCTTGATTATGTTAGAAAGTTTAAGATTTTGTTATATCCTGCATATGGAAACAGCACTCTAATCCTTTCTTTTCAGTATCAGTTCACTTAGCAGATTTTTTAAGAAAAGTTTGATATGTATGATCTATAAGACATAACCTTGTATACTTTTAATTTCTAAACATGGGGAGTTTATATATCTGAGGATGAGAGAGGAAGAGTTCATCTCTTTTGTTTTTGTTTTTGTACCAGGAATCGAACTTAGGACCTTGTGCTTGCCAGGCAGACAGTGCCATTGAGCTATATTTCCTGCCCGTCTGCCCCTTCCCCCCATTTTTATTTTTTTTGAGACAGGGTCTCAATGTGTAGTCCAAGCTGGTCTTGAGCTCACTATGTGACCCAGACTGGCCCCAAATTCACAGCAGTCCTCCTGCCTCAGCCTCCCAGTGCTGACTTTACAGGCATGCACCACCACGCCTGGCTCGTATTTTCTTTTTAACAAGTTACCTATCTTTGTAAAATGCTGTGCTTTGTAAAGTATTCTCATGCATTCATATTTTAAAGAACTGTAAGGCTAGCAGGAACCTAAGAATTTATATTTCACTGTTTCAGACTTTGGTGACATTTCAGCACATGATCATCCACTGTCTTACCTTGTCTTCTCTAGTACCATGGAGGTGAAATAAACTGATATATAAAGTAGAAAACTTAGTATGCCTTTGGGCAGCCCATTTCACTGTTAGACAGATCTTTATGTCTAACAGATTTTTCTGTGCAGAAAGCCAAAATCTGTTTCCCTGTGGTTTTTCAGTCCTAGTTTTGTGCTTTGAATGTTGGTCTCATATGCCATCCCTTATAGTTGAAGATAGCTATCACGTCTCTTTATGTCTAGTCTTCTCATGAGTAAACGACTCTAGCTCCTTTAAGTTGGATATCCAATGACATTATTTTAAATCTTTTCACTGTTTTGACATCTTGTCTAGATATTGTTTAATCATTGTTTTATTGTTTATTGGAACACAGGACCTTTGCATTGAGCTACATCTTCTGTGTGTCTGTCTGTCTCACCCTTCCCCGTTGATCCTCTTCCTCCTTATTCCTCCTTTTCCTCCTCCTCTTCTTCCTTCTTCATTTCTCTCTCTCTCTGTCTCTCTCTCTCTCTGTCTGTCTCTCTGTCTCATTCATTTTTTTTGAGATGGAATCCATGTAGTTCAGGCAGGCCTTGAATTTACTGTGTTGCCCAGGCTGGCTTCAAATTCAAAATGAGCTTCCTGCCTCAGTCTCCCCAGTGCTGGAATTACAGGCATGCGCCACCAAATTTTTTATTCTGTTACAGGGGCTCGCTAAGTTACCCAGCATGGTTTTGAACTTGGCAATCTTCCTGCCTTAGCTTAGTGAGCCTTTGGGTGTCCTTTTTTCTTGTAAAGTAGGATGCCTTGAGCTATAGAAATGAGTCCAGAAATGATTTTAGTTGAATAGAGAAGTGTAGGCTGTCACTTCGCCTAATGAGAATCATTTAGTACTGAAGTAGAAAAGAGCCTGAGCTTTTTAGGCACCTGTCATATTGATTAATATTGGATTTTCTGCCAACTAAAAGATCTATCTTAATCCCCATTGCTTCAAAAATTCTTTGATCTCTCAATTTCTCTTTTCTTTGATTTTGTAGTTTTTGTACTTGATCTGTTAATGTTGACTTTGGTTTATTTACTCCTGTGGTTAAGACCTCTTAATATCCTTTTACATCTTGATTCTGTAGTTTGTGAAACACTGATTGGGCTTCTGTTGGTTAAGAAGCAGGTGGGTCCTCGACATCAAAAAAGAGTAAAACTTGTAAGCTGCTGCATGGATTACTTCACAGCCTTTAAGATTTGGTATTGTTGTATATGTTAATGTCTTGGAAGCAGAACACAGTTTTAAGACCAACTTGTATGGGCCCACATACATTCTTTACTGAAATTCAGTATATGCACTTTTATAGCAGCAAAACTTATAATAGCTAAGTCTTGAAAGTGGCCTATATGTCCATCAGGAGGTGAATATATAGAGAAAATGTAAACACAGTGAGTACTAGTCTGCTACAGAGGATAAATTTGAGTCATTTGTAGGAAAATGGATGAATCTTGACACCATAACATGAGACTTGACACCATTTTATGAGAGACCTAATGAATAAAAAAACCCTAAAGAACAAAATAAAAAAATAATAGGAAACAGAGTGAACTCTTGCAAAAGAGAAGGGAGAACTAAAGGATGCAGGGAGAGAAAGGAGATACAAAAAGAATTAAGCTGTTACATACATGTACCAGCTCCCCACATTGAATGTAACCAGTGCTACTACAATAGTATGCTAATAATCAGGTTATTCCAGCTTCACAGATCTTTTTGTTCCAGTCATATCATTCTTGCCTACAAGGATTATCATGAGCTGCTCTGTCAAATGTTCTCAGAAGAATAGATAATGCTGTGCTTCTGTATATCTGGATTTGTCAGGAGACCTGTGATATGGTGAAAACAAAAAGGTCTTTGAAGTTAGAGTTGAATGTGAATTCTCACTCCCTTGTCATAGCCATCATGATCTTGGCAGGTTATTCAGTTGTAAGCTCTCTCAAATATAAAATGCAAGTGCTTCACTCATTTGTCCTCTAGGTGGATTACATTGACAGTCATGATACGTAGAGCTCCTAGCACAGTACCTGGCACATACTTGTTCATTTGGTTAGCTTACTACGTATGTCTGAGCACACACACATACTCTGAACATCAAACCCAGGGCCCTACACATGCTAGGCAAACACTATCCCTAGCCTCCTGACTATGCCTAATAAATGTTTGCTGTTAAAGAAATAGATGGTTGTTAATTTAAGTGTTTGTTTCTTTCGAGGTAGCTCAGAAAAGGTAATGGAATTAGTTTGATTTTAAGTATTTTGAGAACCCATGCTGTCTCTGAAGGATCACTAAGTTACTGATAGTTATATTCCTGTAGATAAATTTTCTGGCCCAGGATGTCAGCTTGTATAGAGCCCCTAACTTGTTTTGGGTGAAATGATTTCCTCACTGATCTGAGACTTTAATAACATGATGGGAAGACTGTTGAAATGAGTTTACTGCTGGTTCTTTTTTTCCTTTTGGTATTACGATTAAACCCAGGAACTTCACAGTGAGCTACGTTACGAGCCCCCGACCCCTTTTTTTGCAATAAGATCTCATAGAGTCACTGAGTTACCCTGGTTGAACTTGAATTTGCAGTTCTCCTGTCTCAGCCTCCCAATGCCTGGTTAGTTGTTGCTTTTTCTATGAAATTTATTTAGGCAACGCTGTTAACTCGAAGCCGTTACATTCAAGAAATGTTTATTTTATACCTGTTACGTGTCAAAACATTGTGCTGGGTAGGGAATATAAAGATGAGTAAAGTACTTTAATTGTTAGTTAAGTTTCTTGACTTTAAAGAGTTGTACATTTCAGTTGTAATCACTTCCTGTCTTTAATGTCTTTCATCTGCACGCCTG